TTTTTTTTTTTTTTTAATATTTTGTATTTTGCAAAATGTAAAGCTTCTTTTAACCAAGCCACATAAATGGAAGTTTTTGGAGAGAGCTAAGGGACCAAAACACCAAGCTGACCTCATGGATTGAGTTGGGAAAGGTCCCACCTCCAGGTCCTGCACTGGGGTAGGCAGGCTGTGCAGCTCCGTTTATGATACACCTACTGCAACCCTATGATGGGGCAGTGATTCATGTCCTGCCAGCTCTGAGGCACTCCTTGGTCCTGATTTATCAGGAAAAGGTTCAGTCAGAGAAGCCCGGTATTTCAGAATGACTTCTAGGGCTTAGAGTAGAAGCACGTTTTTTTTTTTTTGGGGGAGGGTTGTAGAAGGATATCCGTACAACCCTAGATGTTCAAAAAATTTCACCAAACTCAATTCTTAATTCCTGATTAATGAAGACTGTGCTAAACTTCCTGAGTGCCTTTCCCTTAGTAGCTATAGTTGCACTATTTTTGACCAGTTTCTATTTCAGTCTGGCAAGAAGCTCTTGGCTCTCAGTGGATTCAGCCTTCATTGCCTTCTCAGGCTACATTCTAGTCTCAGCCAGGGATGGAGTGAACAAAGGGGAAAAGAATAGTGGTGGAGCTAGCATACTTACTTTTTCACCAGTGGTTCTTTATAAGTAGAAATGATCTAGAATAAGCTGGCCTCGCAGTTCCTTTCTTGTTGGTGCCAACTGTCCTCCTCATAAATCAAGCAGACCTGTTGAGATTAGAGCCTGCTATTTCTGACTGAACCTGTTGACTCAGGGCTGCTAATCCAGATATAAAATGCCCTGTTAATCCCTAGCACCACCTCTGGTCCACTGCACCTGTACACCCTGCTCTCCAGCAGCTTCATCAAGATTTGAAGTATTATTATGCCCCCCTTTCCTTGCCAGTTTATTTCTGTGAAATGGGGTGGAGCAGTTTGTCATATGCACAGCGGGACTTCGGCAAAAGTTCCCCTGCAGAGGAGTCCATACTGTTCGTTTCAGATTTAAAATCAGGTTACATCATAAGGAGACTGAAAAATAACTACCACATTACCTAAGCAATTTTGAGCTTTCCAGCTTGCACTGTGCTTGCTGACTTTGTAGCTTGTAACTCTTTCCTGATTTGTAGTCTTGCTTGGGTTCAGATCTTGCCTGTGTCACTCTTTAACTTTGTGATCCTAGGCTGGCACTTAGAGAATGGTCAGGTGGAGAGTAATAATGGTACATGATACTTAACTCAAGAGTTGTTGTGGTGATGGAATTGTCTTGTGTATTAGTGCTGTTGATATAATTACAAAGAAATACAGGGTAGTGGTTAAGAACGTAAGACTTTGAGGCTAGATTCCCTGGGCCACTGCCAGTTAGCTGTGTGACCTTGGTTAAATTACTTAAACTCTCAATGTTTTAGTTCATTTCTTGGTATGATGGAAATGTACATGGGACCTACCTCCTAGGGGCCTGAAGATGTGGTGGTTAGTTGCCATGGCAACTCATTCTGACTCATAGCCATGCCACAAATGTAGAGTAGAACTATTCCATAGGTTTTTCAAGACTGGACCTTTCAAAAACATTGCCGGGCCTATCTTCCAAGATGCCAATTGGAAGGGTTCAAACTACCAACCTTTTTGGGTACAAGTTGAGCACTTAACTAGTGCCACCCAGCTACCTTAAAGATGGGGTAATACATTGAAAAGCATTTAGAATTTTACCTGACACATGGTAAGCCCTGCTGTTGCTAATACCACCATGGTCTATGGTTTAAGAATAAATCTCTAAGAGAGCAATTCTTAAGCAAGCTGCCTTGTTGGCAGCAGGCGCCTGGCCTTAGTTTTTCTTGCTCTCATGAAACCTGAGGGTCTCATTTAGTGATGAATGCATCAATAGGTAACTACAGAAATTTATTAGTAGAGATTAACACTAAATGGAGAGTGTTCAGTGTCCCTGTGTCACGATAGGACATGGATCTCAGCAGGGCTGGAGGACATGAAACGTGAAGCAGAAACAATCTGATTTGGGGGCAGTCAGATAAGAGGCTGTTAAAGTAATTAATTGTCTATTTCAACACACAAACAAGGGCTCTTTAAGTGCAGAAAGGATTTGCCACATGATACGGATCTGCTTTCTCTGCCAGATGCTTGAGCCATGAAGCTATTGAAACAGACAGTCTGTGTCCCAGAGCCCAGTAATTGCCAAACTTCATCCTTAACTGGTTTTGGCATTTAAAGAAAGCAAATGGGATAATTCAAGGCCTTTCCTTTTTTAAAAAATTCATTTCTATAGAAGATGGCAGATAACTAGATTATTTAAACCAGTGCTAGCTGTATATCTGTATGAATTCAGCTGTCATTTCAGTGGTTTTGTCTTCAAAAAGTAATGTCTTCAAAAAGTAGTAAGCTGCTTTCTATAAGATATACCTCCTTTCAAAAAGAAATGAGACTAAGACAGCCTGGTTATATCACCTTGATTCTGCATCTCAAATACAGTTTCTTTATACGCCGTCAGCGAGCAGAAAGCCTGAATGTGCTCTGGCTTTCTTAAGGACTTTTAGGTCCACTTTGTAAGTCTGATTTTGGATTCTGTGCTCAAATTTGGAAATACATTTCCATGTAAGGAGGCCAGATTGCAAAGCCTCTGGGGGCATACGAGGCAAGCTGTGCTTTGGTTTGTGGGCTTCCCCTTCCATTAAGCAATATTAGCAGTGGAAATACAGATTTAACAATGTTTGGACAGGAAGGGGGCTTGGAGACCATCTGTAGTGTGAAGAGGCATTTGAAAGTGTCTGCATGCAAAAGGGGTGTGTGTGTGTGTGTGTGTGTACATTTTCCTGGAAAAACGTGCCTGAGGCTTCATGAGCCATAGGAATGTGGAATCGCAGATTGATGAGTCTGCTCCCTGTTCTACATATGAGGCATTGAGATCCATTGGCCCCAGGTGTCATAGCCCCTCAGAGCCCATGGGAGTGTGTGAGCCTCTGGTTTTCCTTGGTGGTTGTTGCTCATCAGGGCAGAAGTGTGGTTCAGAGAGTCACATTTCACAGATGTGTAAAGCAACCGGAAAGGCATGGTCTTCCCTGTCCAGAGTCTTCTCTGACCATTTTAGCCTATGAGGAGTAGCTCCTTGATGGTCTCTTGTGGGGACATTTATTGAGAACTGTGCATGTTGGTCTGTACTCGTTGTTCCCTGCCTGTCAAGTCTTGATTTCTGAGCTAAATGAAAGCTCATGCACTACAATTCCCCTTAGTTTTTATTTCTAAACCATGAGTATGATAAATGATTGGCTTTTGTGACCTCACACACCTCTCTCCCTTTAAAAGCTCACTCATTCAGCATTGTTTTTTATTATTTCCTTTGTACATGAAATACATGATTTCAGACTACTGATTTAAAAGATTCACATGCCTAATTTCTTCTTGTTGTTACAGGTTCCTGAATAATAACGAGTTGACAGCCATACCATCCCTGGGTGCTGCTTCATCTCACATTGTCTCTCTCTTTCTGTAAGTGGATGCAACTCAACAGGTCCTGGGTTATGTGGTGAGGCTGTGGTATTGTTATCTTGCTGATACTCGGTGGCAGGAAGACTTGTGTTCCTGGTAAAGATCACCTTTTTTTGTGTAACCCTAATGATCATGACAAGTGCCTTGCTTAATGTTTTGGGGTTTACAGAATGAAAAGTTTTGCTCTTTTTTTTTTTTTTTGAAAAATAGGTCTTTTTAATGCCCAGACAGAAATAGAACTAGATTTCTTTCTCCTGGAGGTTAAGCAACAACTTGGGTGAGTAAAATGGAGTTAAAGGACGCTGTGTGAATTATTTAAGACAGCAAGTTCTTTGTGTCAGTGAATTTGATAATGTGACTCAGTTTACCTACATGTCTTTGAGAAGGAAAGTACTGCCAGGCCTCTGAAATTAACATAAAAGTAAGGAATTATTAGTTGTGATCAAGTGTTAAACAAAACACAACCCACTGATTGTCATAGCACACTGGATATGCAAAAAGGTATGAATGGAAAGGAAAGGAAGGAAGGAAGGAAGCCAGCCATCAGGGACTTTAGGCTCTGGTGAAAGCCTTTGCTCAAGAGTTAAGCACTTTGTATTACCCCCCTTTTTCCAACAGTCAGGTGGAAGTGATTGCTGGTTTTAAACTCATCTAGAAGCCTTTCCAGATAAACCAGTAGTGAGTCCAATAATTTTCTTGGCCGATTTTATTGGCAGCTTCTTAAGCCGAGCACCTACCTCTTCACACTGAGTTTTCTGTTTCCACTCATCCCAGTTTTATTTGATTGTGATTTGGTGGTTTTATAACTTGTTTTCTTTCCTGTATACATCTTTTCTAGACACTATGGTTCAGAAGGCTGAGCAGAGGGACTTGGCGGGAGGGAAGATGGCTGGGATAGCTTGCAGGTTTGATTTCTGCTGGCAGCAGGCCTTTGTTCAAGAGATGCTGTGTCCTTGAAAAAAGTGGTCTTGAGCTTAACCTTTTTTAAGGCATTGTGAGAACCTGGGGTAACTCACCCTCTGTATCCTGGACAGATTCCTTCATCTCTCTGAACCTCATTTTCCTCATTTACAAAGTATGTCCTTGACCCATTTCATACAAAAGACTGAAGTTTGAGGGGAATGTAATATATACGGAGGTCCTGGTGTCATGTGGGACACATAGTAGGTATTTGACAAATGGTGGCTTCCTGGTGGCTGGTTGTCATATAGCTCCTTGAGTCTTGGCCAGATCTCACCTTTAGAGTGTTTAATTGCTGGCTTAAATTAAATTAATTAACTTTATGTGTGCCTCATTAGGGAAATGCTAGTCCCTTATGTGTATATAAAGCAAAGCACTTGAAGATCCTTTAACTCCTTGCTGTTTGAGGTACAGTTCATGGACCAGCAATGTGGTATTGGCTTGGAGCTTATTAGAAATGCATATTCTCCCTAGCTCCTCTGAAGCAGAAGTTGCATTTAACAAGTTCCCCTGCCCATTTGTCTGCTCATTAAAGTTTGAGAAGCATTGATATTTAACTCCTTGTTCTCACATCACTTTGTGAGGAAGCCAGGGTCATAACTAATATCTCTGTGTTACTAAAGATGAAGTTGAGGCTCCCTGAGGTCCTGTAAGTTGCACAATCAAGAGGGGCAAGTGAGACTGGACACAAATGCCCATGCTTTGGCTCTTCATCTGCCCTTGGTACAAGAGTGGGCAGGTGAATCTGAATTACCCTGTGTACGAGGCCCCAGCCTACCCCATGGGGCCTGTGGCATTTTGAATCACACCTTGCTCTGCTGACTAAAAATAAATTTCTGTTCCTTGGCCCCAGTGCCAGGAGCAGTGGGTCTGGTTGGCCTTGTTCCTGCTATTCCATTAGACAGTGTTAAAATATGTAAAGTCGAGGGAGGAAGGAGGAGTCTCTCTTGGTTTAGATTCAGTTTGGAAAATGCAGGTTAGCATTGGCAGCCTACCTCTTTGGCATGAAGCTGGTCTCTGTCTGACTTAGTTGATCATTTCTCTGAAACTCCCAGAAACTGAAGGGTCTTTTATCTTCGTTTTCTCTGCAGGACCCATATTCTCTGATCTTTGACTGGATACCTGGATCTCTTCCCTGCAGAAGTTAGGATGGCAGAGTTGTAGAAAATTTTTCTGTCATCCATCCTGCCTTCCTATATATCCCCAGTGGACTATGCAGAGGACAGGGAAGAAACTAACAAAAGTGGGCAATGGGTGGACATCACTTGCAGCCAAAGCAGCATCTTTTCCACCCTGACCTTCAAATGTGGGTGACTTAAATCTCCCTCCACGTGATGATTCCAGTTGTTCAGGCTTTGAAGAGCACCATTAGCTGATGTGTCTGTTGCTTTTCAGACTGGGAGGTATTTTGTGTTCAACATAGGCTTGTCGTGTTCCTCCTGTGCTGCTGCAGTTGTGGTCCAGAGTCCCTCCTGAGGTGATCTCCTGAGGACTGAATGTGATCACTCATTCAAAGCCCCTACACATTACCTAAAAAGTGGTAGGTTAGTTAGCTCAAGAGGAGCCTTGGTGGCACAGTGTGTAAAAAGGCCTTGGCTGTTACCTACAAGGTTGGTGGTTTGAACCCACCAAGTACTCTGGGAAAAAGGCCTGGGTATCTGCTTCTGTGAAGATTTTTGCCTTGGAAACCCTATGGGCAGTTCTGCTGTGTCCTGCAGGGTTGCTGTGAGTTGGAATCGACTTGATAGCAACAGGGTCAGGTCACTTATCTCAATAAATGTTCATCTCAGTTTGGTTTTCTGTCTTCTTGAGTCTTTGATGGTAAACCTTATACCTTGCTCCTAAATCCCAAGTTCTTGTTCCCATTTTCTCTTTGTGGTCAGGCAGAAGACCACAGAAATAGTCAAAACATTGCTGCAAAAGGAATAGAGCTGATACCTGCTGAGGCTAGCTGAGTTACAGGAATGACTTTCTTGGGACAAATTTTGTAGGCAGGTGTGTCAGAGAAAAGAGGGGACCAGCTCTGTCTTTGATGCTGTTATGACCTTGGAAAAGTTACTTTTACAGATGGTAAAAGTACCCTTGCCTCTTTTATTATTCTTCTGTGACTCCGAAACCAAGAGTAGGGAGAAAAATCTCACAAAATAAATAGTTACCCTCACTGCCTAGTAGTCATTATTGCTACTTTTATCTTGTTAACAGAAGTAAGATGTTTGTGATTTTCAGCCCAAACACTTGTAATTATGGACTTTAGCCTCTGGATATTGTTTGCACCTGGAAGTTGGCATTTCATATCTGTTTGGTTTTCTGTCTTCTTGAATCTTTGACAGTAAACCTTGCACCTTGCCCACATGGATGGCTCTGATCCCTTGGGCATCAAGCCCTCATGGCCAGGCTGTCCCAGTTGGGAGGGCCTCATGGGAAAAGGTTTTGTTTTATGCCTGGCTTTAATATCTTGGTCTCAAAAGAGAATTCTAGAGTTTTGGGAACTGGAGTCATGCAGCAAAATTGCAGTTGGTGAATGCTTTCTGATTAAAAGGCTCTAATTCAATTAAATTATTTGTTAAAGAGCAGATTTATTTGTATCATGTTAGGAGAATCATGCCAAAGCCATTTGTCTCAAGCCATTTGAGCATAGAACTCAAAGAGAAGTTTTAATAGGATTGGGTTGGAGTGAGGAGGCTAATTTCATAAAATAGTTCTCAGAAAGAGAAACAGACTTTTTGTCATATAGCATGGGGAAAATATGCCATTGGATTTTTATGTTGGAGATTTTTTAAAATTTAAAGTCCAGGAAACTCAGGTTATAATTCCCACAGCAACAGTAATTTTGTCTGATGCATAAGCAACATTTCTATTGAAGAAAAATTTCCGCTTATCCTATAGTGTTTCTGCACTTGAGTCTTTGAGAAGATTGGTTACAGTGGAAATTGTTAAAATTTTTTCAGTCCTAGGACTAAAATAGCTTGCTGTAAAATTGACTTTGGTTTTAAAGCAGGTCAGTTCTTTGACTCCTATACATTGGCTGTAGCGCATTTCCCACATGGCACTTTGCTTTGTTCATGTAACTTCTTTTCCAGTTGCTGGTATATTTGAAACCTTGTCCCTTAACCATGCCTCCTTGTTTCTTCTCCCCCTCTCTTTGTCATGGATCAGGTGAAAATTAGTTGTGCACAGTTGCTTGTGACTTTGTAACACTGCTATTAAAATTCCTTATGTTTATGTGGTATTTGAAAACACCACTGAAAGACCTTTTATACCCCATCTGGGGAGGTAGCATTTTTGAAAAGTTATTTTTTTTTCTTTTTTACTGAAGTAAAATGTATGTAATAGAGTTTATTTCTACCAAGTGCACAATTCAGTGGTTTTAAGTATATGAACAGTGTTGTGTAACCATTACCACTAATTCCAGAACATTTTCATCACCCCAAAGAGTAATGATTAGCTGTTAGCAGTCACGTCCTATAGCTCCCTCACCTTAGCTCCTGTTGTTATGTGCTGTAGAGTTGGTTCTGACTCATAGTGACCCAGTGTACAACAGAACGAAACACTACCTGGTTTTGGGCCATCTTCACAGTTGTTGCTAAGTTTGAGTGCATCCTTGCAGCCACTGTTAATCTATTGTTGAGAGTCTTTCTTTTCTTTGGCTGACCCTCCACTTGGCCATGCATGATGTCCTTCTCCAGGAATTGGTCCCTTCTGACAGTGTGACCAAAGTATAGGAGGCGAAGTCTCACATCCTTGCTTCTAAGGAATATTCTGGCTGTACAGCTATTTCTAATCAGATTGGTTTATTCTTCTGGCAGTCTGTGGCATATTCATTATTCTTTTCCAATGCCATAATTCAAAGGCATCAGTTTTTCTTCAGTCTACCTTATTCATTTTCTAGCTTTTGCATGTGTATGAGGAGATTGAAAATACCGTGGCTTGGGCTAAGCATACTTTTAAGTCTTCAAAGTGACATCTTTGCTCTTTAACACTTGCTGCGGGTGGGAGTGGGGGGTATACTCTCCCTTCCCCACCCACCCCTGATAACCATT